AAAGAACTTGCTTGACAGGTCGTTAGAAACTCCCACATGATTGTTTCTGTCACGCTCCTGCGTTGGATCGAGGCCTCACTTCCCTGTGGGTCAGACTTTTGAGACCAACCAACCGGAAGCTAACAGATATTAGAAACCAAAATCTCCGTTTTACGTAGCCACATTTAATGTCTGCACACTCTCAGATCGGTCAACAGGCTATCTCAGCTAAAGCCCTTAAAAATTTCAATTTGAATGTATGCTATGTCCCCGAAACACGCATACAGGATGCTACCTCAATCATCTCCATGCATTCTCCTAACCCAACGTCATCCTCACGCTTCACCCTTCGTGTGTCAATCGATTCGGCATCCGACGGTCGCGGTGTTGCTGGTATTGGGATCGTGCTAATGCCAAGGATCGGGGCTCACTTCTTGACTGGATTCCAGTTATCCGACGGACGGCAACGTGGCGCTTCAGTTCAACTGGTACGTTAACTCAAATCGACCACATAGCAGTAAGCTACCGTTGGCGTGGCTCGGTGCAATATTGCAGATCCTATTGGACAACCTTCGTTGAGTCTGACCACGCATTAGCTTTGATGCAGTTAACTCTTCGGTTGACTGGTCGACGACAAAATCAGCAAACTCGGTCAGCTCATCATGGACTTTCTGTTCCAGCCGTTCGTGCACGCTATGAGTCAGAACAAGTGCGTGAGCTGAGCGCACCTCAACGTGATGATTTAAAAGAGCGGTGGGATCAAACTAGGCGAGCAATGCATTCCGCTGCGAATATTGCTTGTGGGACTGAACCTCAAGCCCAACGGAGGTATTGTATATCTGATGAGCCTGTAGCACTGATGGATAAAAAAAGACAAATTCCGACCTGCCAGAATCAAAACAAAGTTAGTTGGCATCTACAACGTCAGCTCACGAAGAACCTCAAGAAGGACCATGAGAACTGGTGGACAACAATAGCTAATGAAATGGAAGTAGCGGCTGCATCAGGGAATAGTCAAAGACTTCCGACCGATACGCAATACGGGAGGTCACCGAACTCCATTTAATGAAACACTGCGATAAGAGGGGACAAGATTTTCACAATAAGCATCAACTACTCGATCGCTGGGCAGAATACTTCTGCGAACAATTCAGCTGGCCTAGTGCGCTAACCAGGTTCCATCTACAACTGAGGCTCCGTGGGCAGTTTCATGCGATCCTCCAGCAGAAGCAGAAGTCCGGTCTTGCATTCCCTCCCACTCTTTTCAAGATGGGGGGGGAGGGTGATAACCTCGTAAGCTCTAGTACTACCCTACTGTGCAATATTTGGATACAAGAACACATTCATCTTGGGGCGAATCACTGATCGTTCCCATTTTCAAGAAAGGATATCACAACAACTGTGAAAACCACCGCGGGATAGGTTTGATCCCGATCGTCAACAAAGTGCTAGCTTTGGTTATACTTCAACGTCTGACGCCTTTAAGAGAGACCAAGATCCGTGAACGGCAAGCTGGATTCCGGCCTGGCCGTGGATGTATTGATTTTTACGTTGCGTCAGATCCTTGAGCTGCGTCACACCTACCGTCGGCCAACTGCCGGAATGTTCCTTG